TTTATTTCTCTGGTTTTTTAATCATTTTACATTTTTTGTACTACTTATCTTTTTACAATAATATACCTACATAATATTTTTTGGCACCTTAATTTTTCTAAATGATGTTTTATTTAATTAGGTATTTTTGGTCATTTACATTTTAAGTAAAATAAAAGTCTGTAAAGCTCACAAGAAATTTAATTCAAGTGCAATTTTATGTTTAAATTAGATTTAATTTAGCCTTTATGAAGCACTGCATTTGAGACACACATTATATTGTGTAAATAACAAAAACAAAAAGCACAAGCTGGAAACCCTCGGGGAAACTTTTCAAAAATAATAATTATTTTTGGGCAATTTACACTTTACAATGCATTCAGAAAAGCAAATATGCACACGTTTACAGTTCTGTAATTTAACCAGAGTTTGAGTTTTATGATTCTTACCAGATAAAAATTCTTAAAAATCAAATAAAGAAACAGACAATTCTTATATCTGACCCTAAAATTCTCTTTATTCTTTTCGATGCACCATTTTATTGTTTTCTGTGAATAACTGAAGCATGAATTCGTGTTTTTTGTTTGTTTTGTTCTCAGCTTCCTGAATTAATACACGCATAAATTTAATTTTTGTGGCGAAAATACACAAGTATTAAAATGTCTACTTTGGGGTTCATTCTGTAAATATTCCACATTTAAACAGATCGCTTTCAGAGGATTCCGTTGTGTGAAGTAACTGTTCTAATTTGAATTCTTCGAAACAATCATATTCCACAGAGACTGTATTTTAGTGAAGCGAAAACTGAATGGTTTTCAATATGTAACAACTGAAAGCTTCTATTTTTGCTTGAAGCTGAGTTTAAGCATTTTTAATGTCAACTTACTATGTATTAAAAATTAATAGGTTTGTAACTAAATGAAGTTCTTTTAGTAAAGTTATCCTAGTCATTGTTATCGTCTCTAAATTTAATTGTACGTAATTGTGTTTCAAGATCAAGATTTTGGAGCTAATTTTGTAATCAAAGTTTACTCCACTGAAGATTATCTTGATAACGTTTGCCGCAATGGACAAACAGTTTCAGGGCGGAGTTGGACATTGCAGATTAGTGCGTCACATTAAACCATTAATTGTGTTTTACCCTTTACACTTGAAACAACAAAATTACAAATAGTTTACTTCAAGGACGTAAATAATACATTACAAATATTTAGACAATACCACGTCTTTAATTTCTTGCCTTTTTGGTTCTCCCATAATAGTGATTGGAATTTGTTTAACAATTTTCAACCCTCCTTTCAGATTTTGTTTTTTGCTTAATTTACTATTTGCCCATATTACTATGTCTTTGTCTGTTACCTTGTTACGCATGTCTTTATTTAAAGTCACAACTGCCATAGGTATTTGGTTCCAAGCTTTAATATCTTCAAATATTCCAATAACAGCAGCGTCTTTAACAMCGGGATGCTCTTTAATAACGTTTTCAATAATCACAGGAACAATGTGCCAACTGTAACACTTAAAGACGTCTTTCAGGCGATTCAGGACAAAGAAACGATGTTTTTCGTCATAAAGAGCAACATCTCCGGTTTTCACCCAACCGTCTTTATCAAATAGATCAGAAAAATCTTGCTTGAAATACCCATTCATCATTAAATCACTTTTGTAACGTAATTCACCGGCTTCATTCGGACCCAATATTTTCTCAGTAATGGGATCAACTATCTAAAAATTTATTTTACTCGACTTTACAAACACGACGAGAAATTACTTTACAAGTCATTCCCGCCACTAACTTCCCACAAGAAGTGGGATTTTCGTATTGATCTCTTATATCTCCCGGTTTTGTGAACGCAAACATTGTAATACGACCACTGGTTTCAGTTAATCCATAACTATTTGAAATAAAGCAATATGGGAGAAGTTTTCTCAATTCAAAGAGATTTGTTCTTGACAAAGAAGTTCCTTGCGTTTGAAGCATTTTCAAACTTTTGCCTCCAACTCCTTCAGGTTTTCCAGTTTTGTACAATTGAACCGCTTGGAATGAAGTACAAGACATGAAACTTACCTATTTAAGAAAAAATAAAAAGGTGTGGGGCATTTAATCCAATTACTTTATATTTATCGATGATGCYCCAAGCAAATGTAGGATCAAAGTTGTCACAAACTATTTTAGTAATTCCGGCAAAAGTACAGCAGCAGAGAAGTTCAATTTCAGAGATTTTGGCAAAAGTGTTGAAACTCAAAGCTGTTACAAAACCATTTATGCGATTGGTCAAGCAAAACGTGTTTCCGAAGTTGCAACAAGATATTGTGTTTACACATTGCATCATGAGTGCATAGTGGCTTAAACAAACACCTTTGTAGTTACATTTTTGACCTTTAGTAAATTCAATGACTGCAGTTTCTTTAATTTCCGTTATTGGTAACGGCTGGAAGTGACTTTCTTTCTCGTCTGATTCCAAAAATGAGTCAAACTCAATATAATCCGGACTTGATCCAAATACTACAATACCACATTCTACATCTATTTCTGAAAGTGCTTTTTCGATTATGTTAACCACATCTGGGCTAACAAAAATAATTCGCGGTCTGACTTGTGCAAGTATTTCCAAAGCCTCATCGTAAGTTAGTGTAGGATCTAAAGGAGCCACTGGAACTCCCAGAAAAAAAGAGCAAATAATTGGGACACAACTGTTAATATGATTGTTGCTACAGAGGCATATTATATCACGTTTCGTGATTCCTGCGACAAGTAGACGAATCGCAGTGCGTATACATTTCTGAAGAAGATTGCCATATGATTCAGTACATCCACTTTCTGCGTCAATCTATATCACATCAATCACACTGAAAATAAAGCAATAAAAGAAATACCTACCTGCGCCACCGCATTTTGATTAAGAAACATCGCTTGATACAACTCATATCCTAATCCTCGAGGATCAGGAACATAATCAAGACTTTTCTCTTTAATAATTCGCGAACTTTCTCTGTCTGTCACTGCATTTTGTAATTGTGAACGAGCAGAAGATAGAATTTATTTACTCACATTTGGGGTCTTCCATTCTCACTTAGCAATTTTGTAAAACACGAGAAATTTAGATCATTGGAATGAAAATATTCGTCACGAAGCTCTTAAGCTTGACATTGTCAATGGCGGTGACAGAAAAAAAAATTAATCGAATTTTGTATTTTATAAATGAAAGGATGAGTCCTGGAAACTATTTCTCTCTTATGTGTATGCAGATTGGATTAAGTGCAGTACAAAGAAGGTTTATTCATGAAGTTGAGAATATTTCGAAACTCCATGAACATGCCAACTCCTTTTCAGTTTAATCAATATAAACCACCTGCCAGTAAGTTGGATAAAAGGACGTAACAACTCGTTTACTTTTAATTGACAAAATTGACTTGTGAATATTTAAGCCAGTTTCTTTATGCAAGTTTCCTTGTATTTAGTAATGGAATTAAAAAAGTTTGTTTTCATTCAGAGAAGAAAAACATTTATGACTTACAAAAAATGTACTTACAAAATGATGACTTCAAGGAAAAGTGTAATTTGAATTTTTACTTGAGGGCACCAATGCGCCAGCAATAAACCACTCAGCAAAGTATAATTTAGCGCATAGAGTGAAGAGCAAATTTCCGAATCGTTATCTTAAAGTTCGTTTTTTAGATCAGTTCGTTCATTCTTGGAATAATGAGAATTGTCAATTTCTAAGATGAGATTTAAATTTGTTATAAGAGAAACGATGTTCAATAATTTGACATATCTTTATTCAGTTAATACCCGAAAACATTGTTATTTTTATTGGTGTATAAAAACGAGACTTTTTACAAGAAGTTTAACAGAATTGCATAAAACAACAAAATCCAAATTACTATTTCATTATTCAAGACTAAATTTTAGACAACAAAAATATTGTTCAATTCTCGAAATTTCAAACAACTAATTTATTTAACACTACTTAGTTATGGTGATTCCATGAACCCTGCATGCATTGTTACTTGCTTGGTATCGCCCTTGTACTGTTAATAACTATAACAATGCCGGTACAGAATCTGTGTACTTAATTAGGCAACCCTATAAATCATTCACGGGTCATTTTAGAGTTAGTTAACACCAAAATTAAATCAATAAATTAATAGTTTCATGAGAGATTCGTTTCTGAATTTTTAGACATTATAGACTGGCATCATTATTAAAAAAATAAAACATTGCTCATTTTGTGAAATACTAGTGTTTACTTTCACAAACGAAACGAAGCTTAATAATGTATTATTGCCGTTCGGGGAATCACATAAAAGCACGAGAATGCTCRCGATTCACAWGTTGATGCTGCTTATTTATAAATAAAAGCTTCATAACAGAAAGTTTTTAAAAATGAAAACCCTTGTGTTATTTTTCCTTGTAATGAGAATACAAATTTCAATGTTCCTTAAACGACTCGAGATTTAGAAAAAATGTATTAAATTTTATTACACTGAGAGCAATTGTAGTGTTGCAATTGTAAGAAAAATAACATCAAGTTCTATCGCAAATAGTTTTTGAAAATGTGGATTTCTCGGATAAATGGCGTTGTAAAAATCCACTGTTGTTGCCAGCCACTCTTTGTGTGTTTAATTTAACTTTGATGTYCTTTTTCTGTAAGTGTAGATAAGAATGKMAGTGAGAGATTTATGCAACAGCATATTTTTAAATGTGGTAGATAAAACATCGCTACTATTCTTGCACAAGCAAAATTCCACTATGTACACAACTCAGAGGAATTTTTTGGATCATTTTAACAGATGAAACACTCAATCGACACATTTGAGCGCTTTTTAGCAAGCTTTTGATAAGTTGAGCTGCAAGCTGTAGAAATATCGTTTTTGTGAGAGTCTGTCTCTTTAAAAAAATGTAAGCTTCGTCAAATATAATATTAAGATTTTATTTTTCGTTTCTAAAATCATTGAAACCTATATCTCGGTGAAAAATTTATCGAAGGAATTATAAAAGACGGGAATTTGCGGCATATTTCACTCACTGCCAGAAGCTTCACTTCTCCTATTCACTGTGTTACAAGTTAAGAGTACTTCTGGGCATATCGAGCTTGCAAGTGACCTGATTTTTCTCACCCAATAAATTTACTACATTGTAAAGATAAATTTACTACGAATACTTTTCGAACATTAAAAAGTAAGGATTATTTGATTCTGATAAAACGCGAAATGTAGTTTTTGTGTAGAAAATATAAAACTAAAACACTTATTAAAGCAGGGATTTTGTGGTATGCAATTTGCTGCAACAACCCGGATTTTAAACATAATTGCCTTAATTGCCTCAGGACGTTCACAGCATTTGTCTTTGTGCTTTGTACAAGTTGTCTTTATGAATTTAAATATAAATGTTTCTTTGTGTTATATTAAATTTTTATGATTTTTATTCAAAATAAACAAGATTGTAAATTAATTGAAATTTGTCTGGAGGTTATACACGCGAATTATGTAAAAAAACGTCGCACATTTAAATGCAAATATTCTTTTTGAAATTCGCTTATTACCTTCAACTTGACAATCCTCTTTACTTAATGCTATTTTGGGACGTTTGCTACAAAATATGGAACTTTTTATATCCACATCTTGCCAACACAAGATAGGCTTTTAGCCCTCGAGACCAATTAAAGACGCTTCACACAATGAGTTTTGCTCAAACCACAACGCAATCGTAGAAAATCATTATCTGGACAGATTTACTTTTCGCCTTTGTGTTGTTAATAGTATATTCAGAATTTTTATTGAAAAATAATCAATCATTTATTTTCATAAATTTTCAATGACATTAATCAGAAACTTATTAAATTTAATCTGCTTTTCTCTGTCAAAAACTTATTAAAGGAAAACGGTGATTATTTTTGGCAATTTGATGTATTAACACTTTTTCCCATATATAACAACAGAGAAAAAAGCAATATTGATACTGTATTATGATTTAAGCTGACATTTGTCAGCAGGCGCTTTTATTACAAAGGATATAAAAACGACAAACTGACATCAGCTTTATTTATATGTGCGCTCCCTGTGAAATAATCTWGGTTTTGCGTCCTAAAAATTAAAAATTAAAAATTTTTGTGCATTATGTTAATGTGAATAAGCCCCAAAAATAAGATTTCAATAACACTTGCAGAACTGAAATTACTTTTTTGCTTAAAAAGCAAAGAATAGAAAATATACTATTATAAAACTTTGCCTACATAGTCTAACCATATGATTACAAGAATTTTCTTCGTTCCTTGACCAGTGGTGCCAGGTTTAGTGAGATATCATCAGATCTGTTGTATTTTTTATGCTTATTTGGATTATTTGAAATTAATAGATTTTGAAATCAATTGTTTTTAATCGATATTTGCTTAAATATTTAGTTAGTAAAACTAACTCTTTTGCCCAATCATCAAAGATCATGGCACAAAATTCGATTTTTTAATTATTGATACCTGTAGTAAGATTAGATTAGATTACACATTTTTTTGCATTTTTTGAGCACGTTTTTTAGTCGAAAACAATTATTTTGCCACATTTTTTCAAAAATAAGTAAAAAAAGTCTAAATCAGTTAAAAAAAAATGTTTTTTTGAGATTTTGCCCAACAAAGTCAAAAAAACACTAAACAGAGTCAAAAAGTACATTATTTTGGCTTTTTCGGGCGTTGTAAAAAAAGAACTGCTTTAAAGACACACTAAAAATTTACCAAATTAAGCTACAATTGGTGTTATTTTTGCATTTTTACAGTGTTGACACACGTTTTTTAATACGAAGTTTTTTAAAACATAGACTGAAATTGATATTATTTTAGCTCGATTTAGTTTGTTTTTCAATCAGAGACTTATTTATTTTGCCAGATCTTGGCAAAACATACACGTAGCTAAAAATTATTTTATTTTTTTTTTATTTATTTGGATCACTCGATTTAGCTCGTTTTTAAAAATATAAGCCAAATAATCACAAAATTTGGTAAAATTGAGAATAGTACGCATTACCTTTTCAAGTCTTTATTCACTTAATTCACGTAATTTGCAAAATTTTGCTAAAAACAAGCTAAGAAATTTCCGAATTAGACCAAAAATGGTGTTATTTTTGCCTTTTTCAAGAGTCTGAGCACGTATTGAGCAAAAAATCCATTTTGTGAGATTTATTGATTGAATTTTCTGTGAAAAACTCCCGAAAACGTAAAAATTTAAATCTGCTTCCTTTATGCAATTATTTAGTTCCAGCTTTGATGCAACACACAATACAGGTATAGAATAAAACACCACGCTTTTATGTAACTAGCCGCTGTTTTATTGCTTCTAGCGCAAAAAAAAAGTTCCACGAATTTTATGTAGCAATGAAGTTGCACACATCGCTGATTTATCTCATTTGATAACATTCGCTGAATATTCATGTCACAATTTTTCTCCTCTTTTCGCTATAGTGGTTGCAGATAATGCACGATACCCAATTTTCTTTTTAATATTGCGCTGAATTGGTAATAAAATCTAAACTCGTTTGAAAGATAAATAGCGGTAGGTTGAAAGTGCACGCTTTATTGACAAAAACTTTAGTTTTACTTCTCTTTTTGTAAATATTTTGTATGAAACAAAATGAAAGTGTTTTTTACTCAAGCTCGAGATAGTTGCATTCCCTTTCTAGTAAATTTTAAAAGACTTACCAGTTCAAAGTTTTCGGGATGCGAGTCTTGAAAGTTTTAGATTTTTAGACGAAACTCACATCAATCCGTGTAAGTAACAAATCGCACGCATTTGGACGTCGGGATGTTCCTCAAGTTTCCCACAGAGAGGATTTARTCTCTTCTTCAAAACTGTTTTTTACAGACTACTTACATTAACTGCTTCACAAACTTGGAAGACTTAAAAAGTTGCCATATTTTACCAAACAATTCCCATTCTGTAAAAAATGAAACATTACATCTTTCAAACGTTTTTTTCACTCCTCACTAATAAATTTTTAAATGTCAATAACCTCTAAAAAACTAAAATATCATTTATTTTTCATAAAATATTTACTCGGATAAATGCGTTCCCATGTTCTTCTACAAGCTATAAATTCTGCAGACGGGTAAAAGATTGAATTTACTTTTTTGTAACCAACAGCGTAAGATTCTTATTAAATTATTTAAGAAACTTTGTGTATCCCAATTGYCGATTACATTAAATTTTRCTGAGACTGCTTTAATACCGTAATCAGCTTTGATGTTGACACACAAGCAGCACATAAGTCGTCATTGAATTACAAAAATCCTACCTGAAAAAGTGTAAGAAAACGACTCAATTTAACAAAATCGCATTTAAAAGATCTATTTTTGCCTCCATGAAGATAAAAGGCYAGAGTCTGGATTTAATGCGTTATATGGCCTTAAGGATTAGGTCACAATATTGACATTGGACAAAAGATGAGGTTGAAATAAAACCAGTTTAATCATAACTGATTTTCTTACACAACCATGTGTATTATTATTTTCATTTCAATAGGAGACAACCCATCGATATACCCATTCAATTTAAAACTTTTAATTAGTTTCAAAGTTTTGATTGACATGACTGCCCTTTTTAAATTATGCATTTATTGTAAAAGTTAAATTATCCACTAGTAAAATTTCAAATAAATTACAATTTTCTGGTATTGTTGGCTAAAGTTTAGTTATGTTTGACTTTCCCGTCAAAAGTTATTTTTTCATTRCGAAGATAAATTAAATCCTATCTTTCCTAAAAAAATTTGTTTAACCYGAAGCARTTATTTGYAAYAAAAWTATTTCCAGAAAACGGAGCCAACAAAAATGTCYATWTATTCCACCAACGCTATRCGAAACTGATAAAATGTCGTACCTAATTGAAATRGTGAAAAGAACCTATCTACATTTTATTCAAGAAAAGCGTAATTTGTTCACGCACCGAAGCCTCTTCAAGACAGAAAAACGTAGAGATTAGCAAAGACTTCCAACTTTATGTTTAGGATATAAGTGTCTAGTGTTTGCATAAAGATTTCTCATATCAAAAGACTAGAATTTTTTTACTAGAAAATAGCTTTTAACACCAACTAACGTTAACCGTCAGCTTTATTCCGATTAGCTATTGATGCTTTCATGTTTGTGTGGGATAAAGGACGTTAGGTTTTAATTAAAAACTTTTCGAAATTTTTTTGCGACAGGAAAACTGCTTTGTAGTGGAAAGTGGAATCACAGCAGGGAAGTTGTTGTGTTTGATACTAAGTTACTTTATCAGCAAAGTAGCATGTTCGGTCTCCCATTATCTCTGGTAATTATGCAGCCGCATATCAAACCAAATAGGTAGGGCCAAAATTAGATTTTTAACTCGTTTATAGTAATTTTCACTAATGCTAATCTACGAAATTTCAAAACAAATATTTAAATGCGCATTCAACATTTATTTCAAGATATACAAATTTGAATATAATTTAAATGTCAAATTACTTTAAAGAGACGGAACCTTGTATTCAACTAATCCTAAAGCCACTTTTAATTTAAAGTAATTTATTACTAAACACGCGTTTTGATAACCTTTTCAAATTATTTTCAGCAAACATCAAAGTATTATTTTTCGTAGTGTTTACTTGAAATTCGAACAAAAATCATCCACTGCTTTTCTGAATTGTGTTTTCACTCTCAATTTTAGTTGAAACATGGAAAAGCAAAGTGTAGAATTTTATGTAGGATATYTAACGCCTCTGTTTTACTAATACCAAAATACAAGCTTTTTGCATTTGCTGAAAACTGAAAGAATCAATAGGTCACATTTTGTATGTCAATGTTTTGATTATTTTCAAAACGGTATTTTACATTAAACCGCTGACTGAATTGCTAATTATACGTAATCCTTAAAAGCTTTCAAATTTTGATAGTGTAGATATAATACACAAAACTAATCTGAGCTTCCAGGAAATGAAAAATTATTATTTTTTTAAATAACAATAGCGACCATTATACTAAATTAAACTAAACTAAATATTCAAAATTAATGGTTTTCAAAATACTTAACATATATGTGGTGGATACAAATATGTATATGTAAATGTATAGCTTTTTGATTCAGTTGATTAATTTCCTAATTTCTAATTAATATGATTAGACATGTTTTGCAGTCTAAGTATTACGCTTATTAACGAATAATTATAAAGAAATGACTCCCTATAATTAGGTTGAGCAAATGTAAAACTTTTTTTGAGAAAAATTTATTAATGAATGATAAAATACTATAAATTTTTTTTTGTTTTCGAGTTCTGCAAAATTTTTATATTTTTTTTATTTGAATTGTAATTTTGAAAAAAAAACGCATAAATCGTAAACAAAACAAAATTTTATTCTCACATTTTTGATACACTTTAATGTTTATTAATAAGTATTAAGCACATGATTAAAAAACGCTTGGCTTCATATTTTCTGTAAATATAGAAGCTAACAACTAGCTTATTATGAAAAAAAAATAACCTCAGGGTTTCATAAACGAAAATCGATGGAAATTCCAACTCTTCCAAATTAAGGTCGCATCTGTGGATGCGCAACAGGCAAAAGATTAATTTGAGAAATGACACTTTTTCAGTTATTTCGGTGAAAGAATCGGTAATTAAAATTTTTCTTTAATGTTTTTAATTTTAATATAATTTAATATGTATAATGGCACTCATCGCCTTTCAGAATTGTGTGAAGTGTCAGTAATTGAAGGCTTCATGGGAAGGCGCAATTTGTTTGAATATAAATATTCACGTTTGTGGCTGAATTCCAAGCTTTGGAGCTTATCGAATATGCAATTATGTCAASGAGCTGACGCATATATTGTAGGAACTTCAAAGTTGATGGAAATAAACTTCTCTGAATTCCCGCCATTAGGCAGTCAAAGAAAATAACGAAAGAAAAATCTGTAAACCGTTTGAAATTACATTTAAATGCAATTTGTTTACATCTCGTAAATATAAAGTTTATTAATTTATTAGGGGAAAGTCTTGAATTTGCTTGCAGTGCTGATACCACGAAACTGTTCCGTTTCAGCTTGTAGTGATTTACTGTTTCATTTCCGCTCCCGAAGAATACCAACTTCGAAAGTTTGCTTCAATGATTCAAGTGTGATTCACTTTTAGCAACTTTCCTGTCGCATACGCACATCCGACTTATTTATTTTTTATTAAGTCTACGTTCTAGACTTATTACACATAAAACAAAAAGAACTTTAACATAATTCTAAAGGAAAAAGTAATTTTCACATGTTAACCTCTCCACTTTCTTCGCTTTTCATTATGACACATCAAAAATTTATGTTCTCCACCTTATCAAAAATTGTGAMWTTTAATATTTCACCGGAATACATTATTTACGTCCACTAAAGTGAACATCAAAAATGATATTTGAACCGTCAAGGGAAGTTAAATGTATGTACATAAAATGACAGATAATCACTAAATTGCTTTCTTCATTAAATCGTTGAAAATTTTATTTTGCTTTGGACGTTTTAAGCCTACGCAAGCAATTATTTTTATGTAAATCTGCTACAACTCTGAAATCTTGTTAATTGATTGSCTTTATTTCATTATTCTGTCACTCTTTGTATAACAACGAAGCAGGTTTTTGCTACCTGTTACAAACAGCTCAATTCTGTTTAATTTAATATTGRCGCTACAAATTTACAAGAAAATAAAAAGCCTTTATTTCGAACATTATAAAAAATACCGCCTCAAAAACACTTCCTCGCAATTATCTTTGTTATCCAGCTCTCAATATTTCTTGTGATGTTTAATTAATATTTATGGACAAGATACAAATATAAAAAAAAGTTTGCTTCATGAATTTGAGACAAACTTTATTATATACGTAAAATGCTTGTCAATTGTAAGCTTTACATTAGTAATGTGTTTGCATAAATATCAGTTTTCTAACTGATTTGGTTAAATGTATCTTCGTCGTACTATAACGTAATAGACTATTTTTACAACACATTATCCATCAGAGAAATTGACAAGATGATGAATTATACTGAATTTGTTATAAGTAATCAATATTAGGTGTATCATGAGCTTAATACGTTGTAAATGACCTTTTCAGTGTAACTTTCTTTAAAAAAAAAACAATTTGTGTGAAATAATCATTTTCTGATAAATTACAGTTAAAATTAAACCTTCAAAGAAAAAAATAACAGTTCTGTATCCACCTACCAGTACAAAAAAACCCTCAACTCATTAGCAAACATTACCTACCAAGGATTAAAATATAAGGGTAGCAACAGTCAAATGTTGATTCACATTAGTTGGAGTATCACAGGGGTGAAAGGATTGGTCAAAGTTGACAACTGCAAAGTATAAACGGATTTGTTAGAGGATCAGCTTTCAGCAGGATTCAATGTAAAAGCGACTGAAATCGAACAGACATGAAAAWGTTTTTAAACACAAATTGAAAGAGTTTGAATCGTTCACATGAAAATTTAATTTCAAAAATTTATTTCTTTAATCCTTTTTGATGAATTTATTTTTTTTCAGATGATCAAAATGATGGTGACTGTGGTCTGCGTGTATACGATTTGCTGGCTCCCTTACAACGTCCTCATGGTGAGTTTTGCAGAAAAAACCTTGTTGGCATTTCAAAAACGCGATTTTATTTCACAGAATAAAGCATTCTAATTAAAAATAAATCTTATTACAATTAGAGCATGTTTAATGAAATCAAACCGTTCTCAGTTTGAGAGGATAATCAAATTATTATTTCACGGATTAAATTTCATAATAATATTTCTCTTAAGTTTAATCATGAAATTATTACCCCATTCAGAAAATTATTTTAGACACTGAATTTCACAAATGGAAATGGCGTAATTTATGTGATTAGCCAGACAAGCTTTCATTTTAGAATTTTTTTTAGAATTGTTTTCTTATCACTTCAACATGTAGATTGGGATAACAGTATAACGAAAGCTTTCTCGGCATTTAATAAAAGAACAACCATAAATAATAAGTGTGCAATAAATTTMATTGATTTCTGTGTACATATAATAAAATTCTGTGTCCTGCTTCAGGAAATGGAYGAAAAAGCTCCATTCTTGTGGCTTATAAATGTTACATTTCACGTTTTGTAAATTTTTGAAACATCACACTTTATTGCAGGCAGACAAAAGTTTTTGTTACTGCATGGGTTTTACATTTTCATAACGTCTGTCTCTTTCAGGTGAGACAATGGCACAATATTTCATTATTAACAAAAAATTAGAGCAAAAACTATTATTCCCAACGAGCTGTGAAGCAATTTTTCAGTTTAATAAAAGCTCGTAACTTTGATTTAATTACTTTTTTTTTAAATAATGCACTTTGTATGCACGTTTTTAATCCACTATCGTAAAGTTTTAATTTCTCACTATTAAATTTTTTACACGTTTCAGATAAAATGATTACAATATCGTGTTTTTCTTTTGAGTGAATTGATGTTAGCACAGTGTCTTGTGCTTAATTGCGGTGTTTTTACTGAATTAACTGATTTAACTAGTCAGGAGACAAATTGTCCTGCCACTAAAGGATAATTCACGCGAGTGCTTAAACAAATTACACGTAAGAAAATGATCCTTAGTTGAAAAAATTGAGAAATGACTTCATTTTGAAAGTCATCTACTTTGACAAACATTTCCKTGTAAAAGCACAATCCCGGAAAATTGTTTTTTTCCAGATCTTCAAAGAACACATCAGCGGCAGTGTTATGGTATATTTGTACTTCCCATTACATGGTCTGGCAATGTCCCACGCTTGTTACAATCCAATAATATATTGCTACATGAATGCACGATTTCGAAATGGTTTCCTCCAAGTTATGATGTCCATCCCTTGCCTCCGTAGATGTGTAACCCCATTAACGACATCAGCAAGATTCTCACATACAGGTGAGGATAATCATTTTCATTTATGAAAACGCTAGGCTAATTTTCTGCCTACGTTTGCTCTTTTAATCGATTGTCCAACTTGCTAATTTTGCTCCAGTTACGTTTTATCACTATTTTAAATATGACATAAAGGATGATATAGTCGTAACCGAAAGGGCAAAAATTTATTGCCTCAGAAAAGTAGGTAATTTGGATAACTGCCTGCGTCATAACAATTAATTTTAATTTTGACAAAGATTTTTTACTACAAAAGTTGGAGAAATTATTTACGGCCCAAAATAAAAGTCGACGGGGTTTTTATAAAAAAGATTAAAACCACAATGAATTAAAGAAATGAGTTTTCRTAATGTACACTTGAGTGCAAAAAAAACACAAATTGATTTTTTTATAATATAATTTGGCTGTTAATATATGCCAGTTTTTTGACGTTGTCTTTGTCACAATTCACAATTTTATAATTATCAGGCATCTTCCAAACTTCTATGAAATTTTTCCATGTTTTTCCATTTCTACATTTCGTAGAACGGACTATGACACTTCACTGGCGAGACAACCACATAAGGCATTTCTTTTGATAGTTTTCTAACCTATTTGAAAACAATCTTTTTCACACTATGTAAATCTCTGAAAAATTTGACAATTTTGTTTTTGACAATTTGCGTTTTTTCTTGCACTCAAGTYTACATATATGTAAAATCTGTTTAAAAAAGTTAAAAAAGTAACAATTTTGAAACTAAAGCTGAAGTGGAATTTATAAAATGCATCAACTTTAAGCTCATTTCAATAAATTACACAAGATTTATTGCTAATCGTCATAATACTTACTTGTATCTTTTGCTAAATAACTTTTTTTGTATATACATTCTTTTTCTTCAGTTTTTGTAGCAAGAACCTCATTTTTTTCCACAACATTATACTTACTTGSGGTGTGTTTTTATCAAAATTATTAGCACTGAATTCTGACTTTAGACATGATGTCGGTCCTCAGGTATTCAACTATAGCGCTTTCAAAGAGCAAACATGCACACAAGATTCATAAAAGTCAAAATTTTGACAACATCTCAATTTGAAAACATTATATTATATATATTTTATTTTTTTATATTTTTTTAACAAAATTTCGAGGGACAAAAACAAAGAGCAAACAAAATTTGTGGCTATGGAGACAAACTGCTACCAATTTTTTCACCAAAATTTGACTTGGTGATTTCTATTTAAAAAAGAAACAGACTTTAGATCTAATTTGCAAGTACGTTAACGTACTTTGTTTTGTTGTTGATTTTAATTACAAAAGTGTGTTTCTTTATTACACAGAGTAATAAAAATAATTTTATAACGAATTGTTTCCCCACCACTGATGGTGCAAAATTTATGCRATAATTATGTGGAACTGTAGTTTACGAACTTTATAGTATTTTRGAGTTTGACGTTAATATCGAATCTGCTATAAATATGGCCATTATAACTCATCCTAAAGTAACCATAAATTTTTGTGTTGTAAACAAACTTAATTTCTTGCAGTAGATGGAGCTGATATAACTCATTACAGTCATTAAAGGCTACGTGAAATTGACTCTTATAATTTATAAAAATACCACTCGAAACACTGAAATAACTTCGTCTATATTTCACTTAAAAATATGGTTTTGTCAAAACGGCAGTTTTCTTAGATATTTGCAATCCCACGATTGCTTGGGTCACGCATTTTCGATATTTTTCAAGCTTTGCAACTCCTTGAAATATTCAACAATTTCTAATACACACCGCGATTGAATTTTATCACAGAAGTGTGCGATCACTGAACCGCGTATTGTCCTCATAGGGTCAAGAYGTTCAGATAAAAATAGTTCATGTTTTYAACCTTGTCAGGATCCTCTCTTATGTGTATTGTATAGGGGTTTGTTACAGGTGTGGAAGGTACGGAGAGTACATCTTTACAGAGAAATAACACGTGRACAACTTACATCAGCATGAAGCGCAAGAACTGCAACAAATACACCACTTGCAATCATCAATTACCTGTCAGATCGGTGTCTGTGATGAGAAATACACACACCCACAATGGGGTGAGACGGATACGATATTCGCAGAATATCATGGATGAGCAAATGTAAAWTTTCAAATGTTCTCAGATGAGTGTACTATGTTAGAAGATAAGTTTTTGTCCAATTTTATGTAGTTTCAGAGTATCTGAAATGTATATTTAATAAAAAATTGTGCAATAAGACTTTGTTTTATTGAATAAAAAACAATTTGCACCACACTTTGGACATTTCTGGGTCAAGTGGTTTCCCTACTCAAACAATACCCAAGAGGGACARATTAAAACAACTTTCCTAATTTCAAAATAAAACCCTTTTTCTGATGAAAAATCGTTTCTTTGTTGCTCCAAACTATTGTTGCTTCTCCCAGAGTGGATTAAAACATATTTAATTTTAACGTAATGTCCATTTCACATTACAAAGCTTTTGTTTTAACTCCAAACAACGAAACATTGGACATTTCTAAGTAGGGCCTAAACCGTTAATTTATTGCAAGGTAAGTCAATATTTCTCTATTAATACTCACAGTCACAGACTTTGTTGTAAAATTTTTATATTTGGGTTAGTATTTCTGAAGTTGTAAATAGAAACTTCCCAGGACAAGTAAGTTCCTAGGAGTAAGTTTTACGGGCAGCGTAATAAACTTTATTACTTTTGTTTTGTTACTCAACTATTGTTAATAGTTAAATAATTGCAAGTCAATTTAGCACAACATAAACATTTTCATTACAATAACAATAATATTATTGACGGATTCACCAAGATGATGAATTTGTTATTACAAATAATATGATTTGAGAAATAAGCTTTTGCAACATTGAGTTTATGTTTACGCCTTGAAAATTCGATAGTGATGGCGATGTTAACATTTGACGATTTTAACGCTGGATTAAACAAAACTGGTAACAAGCAATTTAACGCGGATTTACTCAAACCAATAAAACAAGTATTTTTGCATTTATGACGTACACAATTCAGTAATTCATATTTTCGTTTGATTGGTTTTTGTGCTTCAATAGTTCTATTTGTATAATAGAAAAATTTACGCATTTCTTTTGATAGTTTTTGTGAAAAACAAACTTAAGTTTGTTTTATGAGGATTCCTTGTTTAAAACGGCTACTGAGAGTCATAAACTCATAAACATAAACTAATTAGCACTGCTTCCAAGTGCACGGAATTTTGTGGTACCAACTTAGATTTCTACTAGATGACCATCACAGACTTTTTTAGAAAGTTTGTAGTGTGTTGATTGTTAAATTAAAAACAGAAGAGATCAAGTAGAAAACACTAGTAGTAAATTGGAATTCAATTTAGACAAAAGCTTGTCTCTAAATACCAAAATTCTTTAAATATTTAAAACAAAGATTCGTTTTGACTTTTGATACGTCTGTGAAAGTAAAGGTGAATGAAGCTCAACTCTGTTAATTAAATTTGTCTTTATCAGCTGTTTCTACCAAAATATGTTTATATTTTGGCTTTAAAACGATCCCAAAGAATTCATCTCAAATTTCTGTCATCGTGAACATTTTTAATATCGTTGCCATCAAAAGCACAGTTTCAAATAAATAGCTTTAGAAACTTAAAAGCTTTTCTCATAATAATGCTACTTTAGTCCACTTTTCAGACGCTTTAATATCGAGAGAAATTGTTATCTCCCACATTTGTGTAGTGATTTTGTTTTTGTAGGCCAAGATTTTGATAAGAATTTTATCAACTGTCGTGAGAGCTATACTTGCGCAGCATGTTTACCGTCACTCAAACTGCAGAGAAATGTTTGTAAATCGATTTTGTTATTGATATTTCCGTAGAGTTGTCTGTTTTACGTGCGTGTTATGTTACCTGTGTGAGGTTTCTTAAAAAGAAAAACCGATTATGCTACAATGGGTTCAAATATGGCTGAAATACAAATGCTGCCCAGTTCTGTGACGTATGTTGATAATAGGGTAAGCAATATTTAGTAGGTGGTTCATTTTACTCTAACTTGGGTTGAAACTATGTAATTTTAACTTAATTAAATCACTTGACTGTGGAACTTAACCTCGATATTCAATAATGAACTTGTCTGTTCAGAAGAGAAACCACCCTCTTATTATTGTTCTTGGGTTTCAAACACATTCCTATAAACTTTGTTACACTTAAACATGCTAAAATTACAKAAATTGTAATATCCGAAACAAATTAAGTCGTTTATTTTTATTATAAGTTTAGTTAATAACTAAATAAAAATTTTTGCCAACCTTTGACAAATAACTTCATAACTTGTAAAAATGTTTCAAATCGGCATTTCTGTAGKCTGTAGTAATATGTAGTAGGTTTATAAACATCATTCAGATACAGTTATCACTTCACAATAAACAACAATTAGTTTAATATGGAATTTGTGTCTTGCAATKATTTTTTGTTCATCAATCAAATCAAAGCATAAATACGTTTCTTTTAAAAAAAATAGATTATTACTGTTTAATAACTAATTTCAGTTTCAAAAATTTCCACGGAAATTCCTTTAATTTCCATCCTTTTCAGATTAATTCCTGTAATTCCAATTTAATTAATTCCCATTTTTCTAAGAAATTCAACGTAATTTTCAAAAGAAATTCTCTCTGATAATTCCAAAAAGGATTCCGGTAATTCACAAATAATTTTAATAATTTCAATAATTTCAAAGAATTTTAATTAAATTACAAAAATTTGATGTGTAACTAATCCCATAGTTAGCGGTCCCTCAGCATAAATTAAACTTTATCAAAAACACTAAGAAAATAAAGAAAGAAAAAATAAGCGATTATAAAAGTCCATTTAAATACATCAAAAGTTCAAAGTTTAGGTATTAACAATTATCTTCTCTAAAATACTGTACCAAAATATTTTTTTTTATTACGATAACACCCAAACTTGGATTATTCCATATTTAACGAAAATGAAAAAATATAATACATAAATTTAAATTAATTTTTCTTTTAAAGTAAATCGACCAAAACAAAGTCTTTATTAGTTGCATTCTTTGCAAAAGTTTATAGCTAAATTGAAGCATTGCTGGTGAAAATTTCCTTATCTTTTAATTTTTCCTTCTCAGATAACACAAACAAGAGAAGTTTAATGTCTTTTGTTAAGTACAAAGAGTTGTAATAAGACTCCAGCGATTGTCATTAAAAACTAAGAGTTTTTTRCTCATCGTTATAGAATTATTTTATTTTGTATTCCGTGAATACAAGGCAAGAAATAGGGCACTTATTTCTGCACAAATGGATGTCATTTACTGGAATCACTGGCTTACAAATTATTGTATTGTAATGGAGATTTTGTTAGTGTAAAAATAGATTCCAAACAGTTCAAGTAAGTTCACAACAAATTATCGCTAAAAATTTTTAAATTTGAATAAATAAACACCTTTTTGATAACCTAATGATCCCAATTTGATTTAATTATGAAACAGTGTGGAATATTTTACTCCACCCTAAAGAATAAAACATSGAAAATATGTAGTTGCAAAAATTAATAATGTTGACAATTTATTTTGCTCCGTTAACAAGATTGAAAGTCGTTTTTGTGGCTTCTTTAACAGAATGGTAAACTCAGTATTGTTGAAGTATCAGTAGGTGGTGACTGAAAATAATACAGTCCATAAATAGAGCATCAATATCCATAAATTATAAACATATTTTTTACAAACGGACGAAGAGTCGAAGAAAAGTTATCGGTGTTTATGGAGATGAACACAATAACAACCGTTATTAATGTCAGAAAAAGCCATACAAAAACCAGTCCAACTCTACTTCAGCTGTAACATAGTCGTTGAAACGAGAGTTCAAAACCAGTCAAAATTCTCTCAAATAAGTTACACAAAGCAAATGAATAACTTACAGCAAATTAAATTGGAGAAGGTAAGAGAAGTTTTCCAATTCTTCAGTAACAATAGACTTTGATTGAAATAATTTCAAAACAAAGGGAAAATGCTTAAAAATCCTTGAGGTAACTCTAATTATGCGGTTTTCAACCTTTTGTAAACATTATTGGGAGAAAATTAACTCTCCGAGAGAAAAGAACCGAGTGTGACAATAGGAGATAATCCAAGATTAATGAAGCAATTAAACAGYCATTGATCTTGAATATAAACGTTGAGTGTTTCAGTCATAATAATCAAAATGTTTCAGTTATGCTACAGTGGACAGAAGTGTCAAAGAATTCCGGAAGCTTTAGTAAAATTATACGGGGCTAAAGTACAAAGCTTGGACCTGAGCTACAATGAATTAGTCACTTTGAAGGGCTTAGAGGGCTTTCCTTTATTAAAGGAGTTGGTACTGGATAATAATCAACTTTCAGATTCATTAGTTCTTCCGTATTTACCACACTTACACACGCTCTCCCTCAATAAAAACAATGTGAGTTGCTTTGTTCCAAACTTTGTAAAATATTACCTCTGTAAATAATAAATAACACGAAAGTTTCTTGCAGATTACCGATATTGAGTCGTTAGTGGTGAAAATACGACACAACTTACCAGCACTAACTTATTTAAGCTTGTTGGGGAACAAAGCTTGCCCTAATCAACTCTCCAACATTGATAATGATGATGAAGATTATCAAAGATATCGGTGAGTAACKKAAATTTCACCGAGTTTGGTTTAGTGACAGTAGCYKAACCTGATAAAATCAGAAAATCAACAACATACCCATATGRATTCAAATCGTGCAAATAAATGTCAAGATAAATTACAATTGGTGTTTGAATACAAACAACCAYGCCAATAATGCACATTTCGTGTCTTTTTTCGTCGTAACATATGTGTTAATGGTTTCAGATATTACGTGTTGCATCATTTGCCGAGTTTAAAGTTTCTCGACTCGAATAAAGTACGTGAGTGGGAAAAGGGTGAAGCCCGAAGAAGAGGACAATTTATGAAAATTGTTAGACCAAATATATCAAATATAAGCGAGAATGTTCGGAATAATGCCATTTCAAATTCCTTTACACCATTGCCCAAGTCAATAAGGAATCCAGATGATTTTAGAGGTATGTATTGTGGAAATTGGYACGATGGAAGTATCGTTTAAACATTTTATTTCTTGTCTTTATGTTCGCTCTTTCGATAATAGCTCGTGTCAGGACTAAATGTACTAATAATAAGTTTAGAAGATTGATGAGCTGAAAAGTTTTGTCAGAGGGTTAGACAATCTCGGAATTGCTAATGAACGCCAAGCTTGGTGCAAAATCTAATAGCCATCAGTTTTAGTTTTTCAAGATAAAAATATAACAATTCAAAAACTATACCTAGTCAATAATGTGTTACATCTATACATTTTCAATTGTTTTTAAATTGCAAAAAAACTGATATTTTTTTTATTTTAGAATGCAATACTAATGGATTTTTTACTCTTATTTTAGGTGCTTATGGTAAATGTCGATATCGGTACAACGGCAAACATTCAGAAGGCAATCGGTTTATCTCCAACAGTGATCTTTAATTGTTTAATTTCTTTGTATTTCAAAATGTTCTAAATTAATAAAATTATTTTTATACAAACTWATAATTGTAGTTTAATCTTCRTGTTTTTTGTACTAGGCACTTTTCCTAATTGAAATAAGCATTCCAAAACAAGAAGTGTAACGGTGGAATTATTTACTTTTATAACAATATTAAATAAAATACTTTATTTCGTTTACTTTGGGAGTTTTTTTTCAAAAACAGAATTCTGAATTTTGATTTTATAATTTCTGAAATACAGAAAATAGAAATTAGGAATCAGTAATTAGATATTAGAAATCAAAAAACAAAAACCGGAAATTATTAATTTCTAAAATGCAGAATAAATAAAAAAGTAAAAAATTCGAAATCAGAAATTAGAAACCAAAAATCAGAAAGCAAAAATCGGAAATTAGAAATTAGAAATTAGGAATCAGAAATCAAAATTCAGAAATTAGAAAACAAAAACCAGAAATTTTTTATTTCGAAAATGCAGAAAGCAAAAATTAGAAATCAGGAATTACAATTTTGAAATCAAAAATCAGATATCAGAAATTAAAATCTGGTAATCAGAAATAAGAAATCAGAAACCAGAAGTCAGAAACTAAAAATCAGAAACCAAAAATCAGCAATCAGAAGCCAGAAATCGAAAATCAGAAATCAGAATCCAGAAATCAGAAATCAGGCTGATTTAGGTGACCTATAAGAAATTATTAGCACAACTGAAGAAATTACAAGATCTAATGTAATTTAACATACCGAAAAAAGTGGATTTTTTAAGTATTCTCACCGGCTGTAATTGCGGGTAGTTTTATTACTCAAAATTAACAGAAAACATACGTGAAAACTTTGAAGGCCTTTCCTGAGGCACAATTCGGTTTCACATAATATTTTATTGTTTTATTTTGATTTACAACTTTGTTTAAAGATTTAACTATTTTACACAGGGTGAGTATAAAGTATAGAACCAAACGGTTTTTTTTACGTCATTTGCCTTCAGAAAATGATAATTAACATAACTTAAAGTAATATAAAAAATGTGATCGAATTTTAAAAACAAAATTTTGTTGCGATTTTTTTTTGTCAAAATTGCAATTATGTAAAAAAAGGTTGCCATTTAAAAAAAATAAAAAAAAATTGTAGAACTCAAAAACATAAGACAATTTTGAAAATTTTTTTCTTGATAAAACAACACATTTTATAGTACCTTATCCTTACATCAATTAGTTTTTTTTTTTAAATAAATAGTTTAAGCCAAAAAGGTTTGGTTCCATGTTTTTTATTCACCTATTATGTAGTATTCATTATTTAAAAAAATAGTAAAAATTTATCAAATGTTTTTTTATATAACAGAAATCTGTAGCTAGTTCTTAGCATACAGGTTTAGATGTCGCCCAAATGGCTGTCAAATGTAAGCTTACAGTGCGGTCTCGTCAAAAACTGTTGCTTCCAATAATTTTTTCCATGAAAACAAACAATTAAAGTTATTTTACAAACACAATTTGTTATAAGTCATTTAAAATAAACGGAATGCTTGCAATATAAAAGTCAATATATTTATTTTAATGATTGTGGTTGGGTAACTTGTGCACGCCACTGTCACTTTACATAATCCGTCAGTGACATTTCTAGGGACATTTAGTGACAAGCAAAACAGTAAACGTAGTTGCTAAAAGTTAATAAATATTAGAATATTATTTATTATGATATCATAAGGGTAGGGCAAGTCTGATTATGTGTTACAACAACACATGAAAAATCCCACGCATGGTTTACAATGGGTTAGTATGGATTTTTCACATTATCCTAAATAAAAATGTTAACTTTAAACAATGTTTCAGCAGAAGTGTTAGTAGAACACGACTATATTGCGAAAGAACCCAACGAATTAACAATCACAAGGGGCGATATCATCAAGGATGTGATTAAAAAACAGGGTGGTTGGTGGGAGGGTACATTAAAGGACAAAAAGGGCCTGTTTCCGGATAATTTTGTTAAAGTGTTAGACAAAGACTCTTCGGTAGTGCTAAGGAATAGAAAGGATGCCTCTAGGATAAGGCAGTGTAGGGTTGTGTTTAGCTATAAGCAAGATCACGAAGACGAGCTTAATCTAAACGTGGGTGATGTTATTGATATATTGGGGGAGGAAGAGGAGGGCTGGTGGCGAGGAATCCTCAATGGGAAGGAAGGTGTCTTTCCCTCAAACTTTGTCGAAGAGATTGTGCCTCTTGCTTCCAAACATAATAGCAAGGAGAATTTAACAAACAGTATTAGCAACAATGAAACGCCTCCACCACTTTTTTCTAAACCAAGTAAGTTCACTTTCGACATATCCAACATTCTTTTTTATTATTTGTGATAATAATGGTTTTGTTATCATTTTTATGGTGCACAAAAGGATTTTTTTTGCACGATTTTTAAACCAATTTAGAAATGCTCTTATCTCGGTTTTTACTAATTGTTTTTGMAAAAGTTGGGTTTTGTTCTCTCTGACTAAGATGCTCCATTTCGATATTCATTTGAGTCATATCCTTTTTTTTGGCCTTGATAATTGCTGATTATTTTAATACAGTTTGGGTTATCTCTTCACGATTTTTTAAGTGTTTATCTATTGATTATCACTAACAAAAGTTTTATTTTGTTTAAAAACCATTACTTGGAAATGTGTTAGGTAATGTCCTTGCAGGTAGGATTTTGTGCGAAGTCAAATTCGCCTACAAGGCCCAAAACGACGACGAATTAACCCTCAAAGAAGGCGACCTTGTGACCCTCATCAGCAAAGATGGCCAAGACCCCGGCTGGTGGAAGGGCGAACTCAACGGCGTGGTTGGGGTATTCCCCGATAATTTCGTCACCGTTTTGACATCCACCGGCGATGAAGCCCCTCAAAAAGACGAGAGAAGAGTCAAATCCCTCCTGGAGCCCCATTCCATTAAACATAACACAGTCAGTGCCCAAAGAAAGTCTCTGGAAGCACATAGCGACAAGAACGAAAAACAGGAAAATGAAAATATGTCACACACTAAAACCACTCCACCTCTACCGGGAAAGAAACCCACCGTTCCGCTTAAAAAATCGCCATCGGGGTCGAGTTCATCCGGGGGGATTTTTCAAGGGTTGAAGAAGAAGCTGGTTGATGTGGTGGATGGAGCAACGGGGAGTAAAATTTCGCCGCCTAAACCTGAACCAAGTGAAAGTGGGGTACCGGAAAATGTGTTTGATGATGTGCATAGGAGGCCACTGCTTTCGGATGTGAGAGCAAGCAGACCTAAAGCCCCAGGTATTTACACTTTTCTCTATTCTGATTTTTTTTTTAAGTCAAGTCATAAAAAGCAAACCAAACACAAAATTGTTTCATATTCAGTGTTTTATAAAAACAAAAAAAAAACAAAAATACCAAATAAAATAAGATATCAGGAACATGAAAAAAATGTTAAAAAAATTCTCTGTCAAAAATTTTTGACATTTAACATTTTTTATGTCTATTGCAAGTTATGAGAGTTTAAATTTTGCTCTTTGACTCTATTTATTTCTGTTTCAAAAATAATTATGCTACAGACTGTTTGGAGAGGAAACAAAGAAGCTGTATCCTGAATTGTAATTATGTTTAACGTTATTTCTAGTTTTTATTGACAAAGTTTTTGTACCTTCTCTGAATAATTCTGAAAAAACATTCCTATACAAGATCATCGGTAACAATAGACATAAAAAAATGTCAAATGTCAAAAAATCAATGTCAAAAATTTTTGCCAGATAGAATTTTTTAAACATTTTTTCAATGTTTCTGGTATCTTATCGTACATGGTACTTTTTTGTGTGTTTTTATAAAACGAAAATTAAATTTTTTGTTATTTAAACATTATTCAAAAACTTAAGACCCAGTCATAATTTTTTCTATTTAATCTTCTTATGAATTCTTGTAAATTTGTTTTGTTMAGGTTGGGTTCATTATTATCTATTTGTTCTACATAATTCCTTAATTAGTGCAGTTTTCCTCTTCTAATTTTTTCTTTCTTYTAAGAAGATTTTTTTTATTTTTTTATATTTGAATAAACAATCGAATGGATATGTAAAAATGACTCATGCATAGAAGTACATATCTACATGAAGCGGTTAATCATTTTCGACTTATTTTAGAATAAATGTCAAACCTATTTATTTTATTTTAATGGATTTTTCTTTTAATATACAGTATGTTTCGTTTTAATTGTTACAAATCTCYAGAGGTGATAAAATATTCAATTGTAAGACCAAATTTTCCTATAAACATGTATCAAAAAAGTCAAAATAGTTAAGGTATTTTTTACCCTATATCCCCCAGTTTAAGACACCTCTGATTAAAAATTTCGACATTTGATCTAAGAATTCGTTGAGATGTTTAAAGGTCATTAGCTGTATTAAATTTTGTAATTTCACCTATAAAATATTGGAAAATAGTATATTATTGACCGAGTGAGAAAGTTGGCCATTTCCACTAAAATGAAATTTACGATACGAGCGGAAGACGAGTGGAGTAATCTATCTGAATGGAAATGGTTATTTCTCACGAGTTTAATACTATACTTTTTCTACTCTMAAATAATGACTGTAATATMTTTTATACATATATATTTTTTTCTCGACAGTTGAAGATTGAATAACTTTTTCAATTGAAAACTATTAAGCAAAGTACAAATTCTTTAACATCATTAGAAGAAACTCATTAAAAGCACTCTTTTCAGGGGGCGTAGCTCCTTACATAATATTTTTCCCATGCATGTTTATAGGAAATTGAATCAATCTACTGTTTAAATCTGTGACAACAAAATACAGTAAATAGTAGAAATTTTTGAGGTGATAAGAGAGATAAAAGTTTATTTAAATAAATTGAAATGTTATACATGTTTATCTGAATTTTAACAAAATAATAGAAAATGAAAATGAAACATTATAATGATGCMTATTGCACATACAAATAATGTATTGTTAAATGTAATTTAAAAAAACTTAATCGTAACTTAATCGTAATCTTAATCTTAACTCGTAAACTTAATCGTAAAACTTAATCGTAAGAATTATTTTAAATATAAAACAAAATTTTAGCCTAGGTGCCAAATTTTTAAATATTTTTAGTGTGTGATAATCTTCCTTTTTGGAGTTTTGTAGAACTATAAATTTAGAAGTTTTTAAAACGGTGATTATTTCACTAGATGCGTTTTTAGTGAAACATATTTGAGACTTCAAACAATAATGTTACTTTTATTCTTATTCGTGGTATAATAAAAATTCACAATTGTGCAAACTGCCACGAATTCATATTTTTATGCATGACTTAGCTATCTTGACAGATAAGATTAGAACACATATTTTTATATCAAAGCTAAGTTTAAATTAATAACTGATGCTGGAAAAGTAACATTTGAATTATGGATGACGTGGAAATGAGTGCTGAAGAGTTTTTACAGGACGAATTTTCGTCTCTAGGTGAGAAACATCATTACATTTAAAATCAAGGAAAATAAGATTGAGTAAATTTATTGGAGGCTTCTAATTATCGGAAAACAAGCTTTGATGATAGGTATTAAACCAAAGTGTTTTATTATTATTATTGTTTTAATCAATCAAATATTTCGTATGAAACATCATAATGACTAAGATTTGCATGAGATCACGTCCTAATAATAAACACCATAAAACGAAATCATAGTTGTTTAAATTATACAATTCAGTTTCTATGAATACAAAAATGTAGAAAAAAAAAACATTATTCATAGGAGCGGAGCATCATTTCACTCGTCCTCCTTTTACGTTGAAATTTATTCAAGTGGTCGAGAAGTTATGAAATGCATTTTAATACAGCGTCGTCGCGATCAAGATAAACACCGAAATGTATGTCTTGAACCTTTCCATGAACTTTAAAATTTTATCGCAAAATGAGTGCATTAACCTCTGGTTTCCTGACAAGTGTCTATCGTGGATTTGGCGTGGTTTAATGAATTTGCTTGCAGGAAGGCGGCCCCCTTCCATCATAGGAAAAGACCAGGAACCGGGTCTCATGAACGGAAATAGCGACCATAACATGGAAACCACCTCTGAAACAGCGCACAACGTGAGTTCTAGTTCAGAAGGCGAACCAACTGAGAGCAAACCCAAGCTGCCCGAGTGGGCGAAACATCCGGCTCCATGGCTGGAAGAAATGAAACTCAATCAGGCGAAACGCAGCTCATTTACGCCACCGCAAGACAAGCTCAGATTAACCCCAACGGAGAAGAACGAAGACGAGGTCAAGACAAAGTCGTTCAAGAAGGATCCAAGTCCTGTCGATAAATCTAAGTCAATAGCAGCAAATGCAAGAGTAAAGACACCCACCAACGAATTTCCCGCCATGCGAAATAAACCCAATGTGCCAATACCTAGCAAACCTAATGTAGTTGAGACACCACAAAAGCCGATCACTTTATCTCACACGAAAGTGTCACCTGTCAGTAATAAAACTCCCTCGCCTATGCATAAAATCGAAACGAATCTTCTTGACAGCAGTGCTGGAGGAGATTCCGGTGAAGAAGTGACGTCGAAACAATACGTTGATTTGGAACATAGGATAGCGAAACTTGAAGAGTTGTTTGAAAAGCAACGACAGAATTATGAAGCGGCCATTGAAGAACTTAGAGGGAAATTGCAAATTGAAACGGAGATGAGGATGACACTTCAAGCCAATTTCGAAAAGTTCATACAAGACGGTGCAATTCAACAACTCTAAATTTTTATTTTTGTATTATTTATAGCTAAGTGATCTCTCGCCATTTATATTGTAATGTAGGTGATGCAGCTTAGCGTTTTGATACAAAAACTCAGCGYTTTAATTCCATTCGAATTGTGTTTTTACAGTATTACTTCGTACTTTTGCTAGTTATTTGAAAATACTGCCCGTTAAAAACGAATGATCTTGTATGTCAGAAAGTTACTAAAATTGGTCTATTATACAATTATGCTTTACTAAAGCAATTTGCCTAATTGGGCGACAGAAAGAAAAACAGTTTATTTAAATTATTTTTTTGATAATTTGTATTAAAATTACTAACTTCAGGTTAAGGTATCATTTTTAGAAAAATTTAAATTTTATGACCATAGACACATTTTAGCTTTTTGAAGAGTTCCTACTTTTAAACAACGACTAATTTATTTAAYTTATTTACTCAAAAATTAGGGGTTGCGGGTTATTGTTATTTCTGGAATTGAAAACGTATTTCCATATCTTTGTCTAGTCATTAAAATAATGTGTTACCCAATTTTAAAACGTTAGCACTTGTCTTCCRTGTTTTCACTTAAATGGTGAAATTGGAATTGTGCATATCTTTTTTTCAGTTTTAAGTACAACTATCGATTAAATTGCTGAGTTTATGAGAAATCACGAGAGAGAATTGCAAGATTTATTAAAAAATGAACTAGCTACCGCAATTTTTATATAGCATTTTTACCACATTAGCCTAATTAATTACAGATACATAGGTAGTTGTATGTAAGTATTGAAGAGAATCATTCCATTGCTCAGAGTGAAAATTTCGAATTTTCACTGTATTTATTTATATTTTTTGTTCATCTATTCCATTGTGTATATTTTAATCGTTTTATATATTACGATATGTAGCGGCTTTCGTCAAAAATGTGTATTATTTATTGGCACAATGCGTCATATCAGATTTATTATCAAGTTATTTTTGACGAATTGGCCTGAAACACAACTATTTTGTTAGTGAGTTCTTGTATTTTTTGTATTCTTGTATAATTATTATGAAATAAGTGTTCAAAGGCGGTGATAGGATAATTTTTAAATAACTTAATAAATTGCTAAGTGGATTTGCTTTAATCCTGGTAGCTCAAGACATTTTAGCTCATATTTTGCTACTTCAATAGATTATTCATTTGAGGAATTATATTTTAAAGAGGTATTTATGCAAAGAAGAGATATCTTGTAATAATTTAACATTCCGTAATAATAAACTTAATGTAAATAAAATAAAAAATGAAAAATTGTACTTAGAAATATTGTTGAACAATAACAGTAAATAAAATATTTAAGAAATTGAACGTACTTTGAAGTAACAACTTAACCCCACATTTAACATACTGACCTAGTTTACTAAAACTCCYTAATTGTAATAAATAAGGTTGAAAGGAAATGTGGGCAGGCTTAATTTAGTAACTTGGAGGTTTTAGCTCAGATTAAAAATCAGTTGGGCTTTCTAATAGGATCTCCCGCTTATACGCGAACTCAAAACATTTTTCATAGAAAAGTTTTAGACGGGATTATGAGGATTCAAATGGGGCTTTATGGATTAATCTTCAAGTTATAAACGTACGGTATACTTGGTTGTCTATATTTAGACACTTTTTAAAATACTATTTTTTTTCAACTAAAATTTTACTTTTACTAGAATTTTTTTTCACTGTTAGTTATTATTTAGCATAATCTATCATACCCTAAAATTAAGACTTACCRTGTGTACGTATTAACGGCAATATAAGAGGTAAGCTTAAATGTACCGTAGTGTTGGAAAAAAAATAATTCATTAATAAGTTATCTATGAACTTTTACTTCGAAAAAGTTTAAAACTTTAAAACATTATTAGATAGATAGATATTTTTGAATTTATCGGTAATTTTCTCGATAACTATTTATCG